TCAGGAGCTGGACCCGGGAACAGCTTGGGCGTCGAACTGTGGATCTCTCGCACAATTGCTTTTGCGACGCAAGGACCGACAAGCCGAGAGCGTTTTTTCCAACCGGCCGATTGTCATGTAGTCCATGCAGACCCTAGGATTTTGCTGTGTCATATTAGCAATGCGCTGATTGAGCTGTATGTCTGCGTTGCTCATGCACCTCATTCGGCAGCCGATGAGGCCTTTGAATGGTGGGATAGCTTAACACATGAGATCTTGCCCCAAGGGGATCTTCACAACGCGCTGGTCCTAATGGATGCGAACGCCCGAACACATGTATCCATGCCGCCCCATGTTGGTGCATGCCTCGATGAAAAGCCCAATCGGATGTCAGATAGGTTTTATGCCTTTCTAGGGAAAGAGCACCACCATCTCATGGCAGTGTCTACATTTCAGGAGTATCACTGGGGCAGTATCTATACATGGACCCATCCTAATGGAGTCAGCAAATCTAGGATCGACTATGTCCTGTGTCCAGTTTGGTGGAACCACAGTGAAATTGTGTCCTGGGTCAACTATGACTTTCGTATGCCCCAAATCTCAGAAGATCATGATTGTGTTTCAGTGCGCTTTCAGTGGATGCAGCAAGCCCCGCAGAAGCAAAAGAAGAGATGCAGAATCTCGAGTGACAAGCTGGCAGGGCCCCGGGCGCAAGACAAGCTTCGGAACATCCTTGCTAGGACACCCGATATAGCATGGGAAGAAAATGCAACAGTCCATGCTGAAGAGAGCTCCGACAAGCCTTTCAGGACGACACCCACTTTCGAGCACAGGCATACGCCTCTGAGACAACTACAGAGATCTTTCGACAGTTCATCAGCCAAAAACGCACAGTAAGAACTCTCAAGTCTCGAATCGGTACATGGTCGCTCCAAGCAGCATTCGATAAGTGGCTAGGAAGGAAGTGGGAGAGTTGCCAAGCCTGGACATTTTTCCGAGCACAGCTAAGAGTAGCACTCCTGGGCCACGAATACAAACAGAGTGCAATACAGCTTAAAAATGCCCTTCGAAACGATAAAAAGAAATACTTGCAAGAAGTCGTTCAGACCATCAAGGATGCACCAGCGCATGAGATGTGGCGAGCCCTCCGCCCTCTCTTGCCCAATAAACAAAGGGATGGTCCTGCTAAAGCCATGCCGCAAGTGAAAAATGCCCGAGGAGCGCTAGCTGCGACTCGACAAGAATACGAGCAAGTATGGTTGGATCACTTCCGCCCACTCGAAGCAGGACAAGCAGCTGATATTGCCGATTTTGTGTCCAAGATAATCCTCCGACAGCAGCAAGATGCAGTGAACATGAAAGTCCTCCTATCAGACATGCCCACTCTCGCTGAGCTAGAGCGAGCCATTCGCAATGCACACACCTTCAAAGCAGCCGGCCCAGATGGATTGCCCAACGAATTGTTTAAGGCCTATCCTGCCATGGCAGCCAAATTGCTATGGCCGCTCGCCATGAAGTATGCTTTGAGAAGAGAAGAGGCAGTGCAATTCAAAGGAGGACAGCTCATTTCGTTGTACAAAGGCAAGGGCGCGCACACAGAATGCGCCAGCTTTAGGGGGATCCTGCTAATGTCAACGGCAGGGAAGTTGATCCGTGCAGCCATGAGAAAGCACGTCAACGCTCCTTATTTAACTCAAAGTGCGGAGCTCCAACTAGCTGGCAAGCCAAATCTCTCCGCCCTGTTTGGGGTCCAGGCTCTTAGGAGTATGCACCTGTCAGCAGCTGATCGAAATCAGTCAATTGCCTTAGTCTTTGCAGATATTCGCTCAGCATATTACACGGTTTTGCGACAAGTCTCGGTGGGCGCTAGCACATCCGATGAGGATATAGCCCAAATCCTCTATAGACTCCACCTCGGCCCAGAGGTCATGCAGGAGTTGCATAAGGCACTTCAGGGAGCCACTGCCTATAAGCAACTGCATGCTACGCCTCATCAGGAGGCAATCCTGCAAGAAAGTATGCGGGGGACATGGTTCATGTGTTTCCAAGATGACTTCACCGAAACCCATAAGGGTACACGGCCAGGGGACTCGTGGGCAGACATCATTTTTAATGTTATGTTTGCAGCCATCCTTCGGGATGTCCAGACAGCTTTATCCGGACTTCCTGTATGGTTCGCAGTGCCAAGATATTCGGCGAAATCATTGATTGCAGAACCGGTCACCCATATGAGCCAAGATATTGTCCACATAGCATGGGCCGACGACCTCGCAATGCCATTAGTGTTCCCCAAACCGCAGGACATTTTTAAGTACCTGCCCATTGTAGTAGATAAGTTGCTTTCGGCCTTGGAGGAACGAGGGATGGACGCACACATAGGCCCTACTAAAATGGCCGCCATCGTGATTCCAAGAGGACCTGGGGCAATTCAGGTTAAGCGGAAGTTGTTCCGACAGAAAGAAGCATCCCTTCTTGTCTTGCGAGAAAATGTGCCATGCGACCTTCCATTGACAGCCCAATACCGGCATCTCGGTGGCATTATTGCGGCAAAAAAGGGCATGTTGCCCGAGATCCGAGCACGGCTGTCTAGGGCTAGAAGTGCCTATTGGCGAGGAGCCAAAAAGTTTTTTCGCAACGAGCGTTTGCCGCTGGCCTTGCGAACCCAGGTCTTCCAGGCAACAGTCATGGCAGCCCTACAATGGGGGGTAGGAACATGGCCAAAGCTAAATGTTCAAGAGAGTAAGGCGTATGAGAAGGCATGTTGGGAAATGTACCTTTGCCTAATTCCCACTCAAATTCGCAGATCCCAAGTTGCACTGTCGCATGAAGAGATCTTGCTACATCTTGACGTTGATCATCCAGAAGCGCTGTTCGCAAGCGCACATGCGCGGCATTACTTGACAATGGTGCAGTCTGCGCCTGAAGTCATCTGGTCGATTGTGCAGCAGGATGTCAGGACTCAGCAAGCATACCATAGTGCTTTTGAGTGGCTGTCGCAATTCCTGGAGCGTGACACCGGACTCCCAAATCTCCAAGGCAATGAGGAGCTGACAAAGTTCTTGCTTGCGAGACCGGGAACATGGAGAGCCGCTGTCAAGAGAGCCCTCAAAAGATCTCGACAATGGCACCAAATTCAAGCCAAAGTTTATTTGTGGCATAGGCAAATATACTCAGAGATGGAAGAGGAACATATGATTGGCCTTCGTCAGGACCCTAGCTTGCATGCCCATTTATGCCTCATTTGTAGAAAAGCGTTTGCCACTAAGAAGGCGTGGTTCCTTCACACTAGTCAAAAACACGGTTACCAGACGATGCATGGAGAAGCTGCGAGGGGAACCGTCTGCTTGTGTTGCGCAAAGTGCTACCCTACTAGGAATGCACTGATGGCGCACTTGCGGTACAGCCCCACATGCTGCGCATTCCTCTGGAGCCAGAGGCAACAGCCAGAATGTGAGCAATCCCGACATCCACAGGCAGTCTGGACCTACACTGGAGCGACCCCAGTCTCGAGTCCTGATGTGGTTCACCGGGATATACGGAAATTCCATGACGATTTGGACGAAGCATTGCATGCCTTTGATATGGATGTGGATGATGTTTCTTTTTATGACCTGTTCTTTGACAGGCTGGTGACGGTCTGTATCAGACCTATGCACTTGCCAGACATTGTAGCAGGCTTCCACACATGGATGCATCAGTATGAAACAACATCTGATTCTGCACTTCAGGACGTGCTTGACCGAGTAAATGGTTGGCTTCGAGAGCAGCCCCAGGCTTGCGACAGCAAGCTCAGCCAGATGCACGTCTGCGCCGAAGAGAAGGTAAGACATGACGTCTGTGTCCTTCGACAAGAGCCCAGGTGCAGAAACTTTCTGCCAAGGCAAGTCGTGTTTTTGCATTTATTCAGCGGGCGTCGCAGACATGGTGATGTGCAAACAGCACTTGAGAATTTAACCATTCCTGCTGGATGCATGATGCTTGTAGTTTCAGTAGATATTGTGGTTTCCAGAGAGAAGTGCGACCTTATGGCCCCAGAGCAGCAGAAAAAGTGGCTTCAGCTAGCCAGGGAGGGCGTCATAGCCGGCGTGTGCGCCGGACCGCCATGCGAGACATGGTCGGTCGCAAGAGAAACACCAGTCCATGACAGCACACGCAAGCGCATGCCCCGACCATTGCGAAGTTTCCGAGACCTCTGGGGCAAGTGCGACTTGGCAGCTCGTGAATTCCTGCAAATCGACACTGGAAACACCCTGATGGGGTTTACGCTCCACGTCTGTTTCCTGCAGGCTCTGACCGGTGGTTTTTCTCTAATGGAGCATCCACGAAATCCGCAAGAGTACTTGCAGCATAAAGACCATGCCGCAAGTATATGGAGATCAGCGATCCTCCGCTGGTTTCTGTCAACAGGCTGGTTTTTTAAACAGCACATCAGCCAAGGACTGTATGGTGCTGCAAGTCCAAAACCAACCACCTTTTTGGTCACGGGAGTAGAGGAATCCAGGGCGGCTACAATTGAGATGGCAGCAAGGACCACTCCCATGCCAATGACCACAAGTATAGGTAGAGAGAATGGTCAGTGGCGCACAAGCAAGCTCAAGGAGTATCCCCCCGCTCTGTGTGACTACATTGCGAGGCTTTTCCAAAATTGGCTCGTGCGCCACTCTGACCGACGGGTCCAAGATTTTGAATCGCAAGCTGCGTGGCTACAAGAGCTGATTGTACAGGAGGACGCAGCAGTACAGACATTTGGCCCGGACTTTGCAACCTAATTTAGTAGAATTTGCAGCAAGGCGCTGCGCTGAAAGGCACTATGCGCATCGAAAAGTCGAAAAGTCTATTTTAAAGATAGATTACGATATTATGAAGATAGTATATATATATTGTTTAAAAGTGCTTCTTTGAGAGCATATCGGATATTGTCGTAACTCTAGACCTGTGTAGAGATGATTCGAGAATATTAGAGATGAAGAATCTTTGACATGTTTTGAATTGGTTAGTCTCTTTGTGTGGCAACCACCCAGGTAGATTACTCGACAGCAGACCAGAGGACTAGAGACTCAGCGATCAGAAAGCACCTTCGCAGATCGGAAAACATTCGGAAGGCCACAGCGGTTCTTGGAGCAAAGGTGCGTACGTTGAGAAAGATCCCACCAAAAGCATCCAAAAGTCCCGAAGTCCGTTTGTTTGAGGATGAGTTTAGGATGTTTAGGGCACGTCCTACTGTTTTAAGATGTTTTAAGTTGACATAGATCATGCATGGATTTTGCCAGCTGGATGGATCTTGTTGGACCCTCAGGTCATGAATGAAAGTATAGCTCCAGAAAGGCCAATCAAGACGTTTGTGAAGAAACGGCTGGACGGCTACATGGGAGCAGTCGTTGCTGCCAATATCGGTATGATGATTTTGATGACACAATGGGCCGGAGGAAATGCAAATTTTGCTCTGAACGAAGCTTCAGAGCCATGGCCTTGGTTCACCCAAGGGCTTTTCGATGGCTGCGAGTATGTTTTCTATTCACTGTACTTGATGGATGTGCTTTTGCGTGCCTTTGTGCTGCGTAGAGAGTGGTGCTATGATGCGGTGGACGGCATCCAGTTCATGAATATGTTCGATGCATTTCTAGTTTTGATTAGCACTGGAGAGCTGATCATTCTTCCGGCGCTCTTTTCAGGCGGCACAGACTTGCAGACTGACGCCGTTCGGTTGCTGAAGCTGGTCCGCATTGTGAGGACCCTACGGATCATCAAAGCAGTCTCTGCATTTCGTCAGCTGAGAGTTTTGGTGGCCACCTGCTTGGCATCCATCGGTGCGCTGATTTGGTCAATGATTTTACTGGTCGTATTGAAGGTGGCAGTCTCTTTGATGGCGGGACAGGCCTTACAAACATTCATCCTGGATGAAAATGAGGACCTGGATGCACGCATAGAGATGAACACGTTGTATGGAAGTTTCACTAAATCATTCTACACTTTCTTCGAAATCACACACAGTGGATCTTGGCCCTCAAGAGTTCGACCAGTACTTGAAAAGGTTAGTCCGTGGTACTCGATCATTTTCCTCCCCTACATTGCCCTCGTGGTCTTCGCTGCTACTCGGCACATTAATGCACATGGACGCCACACAGTTGCACAGTCCTTCGCAGATGGGAGATGACGGGTGTACCTACCTTACAGAAACAATATAGATAGACATGAACAACATTGAATAAACCATGAACTCTCGACTTCCAGGTCGAAGTTTCGGGCATCGTTTCAGTGAGCGGGCTGAATAAACGAGGCTTTGAAGATTCCATGCTATTGAAAGGGGGCAAGGGATTAGCATTGGACCATGAGGGATATCCGTGACTTCTCCAACCAGTGTACAACGGTGTTGTGTGCGACTCTGCGAGACCTCAAATGTCCCCAACAATATTCCAGCTGGCGGAAAGGCTCAAATCAAGGATCATTCAGAGATTTTTATTTGTTCTTCTTGCTACTTTTTCCCTCTCCCACTCTCCTAACTTCCTTCCCTATGGCTTTCAAGTGGTGCCCACAAGCAGCTTCAAAGCCAACGTGGGCACCATGTGACGCTGTTGAAACTTTGAGACAACAGGGGGCACTTCATCACACGTCATCGCTCTGTGGGTGAGTTGTTACAAGCTGTGAATGAGTAGAGGACTTGTGCGAAGGAAACTCGTTTTGTGAGTGTTTGGAAGAGCCGGAGCCCAGGTGATCCGTGTGGTCACTGCCCTTTTTATCAAGGAGACCCTTGCGAGTGCAGCCAATGATGCTGAAATGGTGATTGAAGAGAGTCGAAGAATGGCCCTCGAGTATCAAGCACGACTGGAGGAGCCTTCGAGTATCAAGTAAGAAATTGTTCTTGATGAACGAGGTTGCATTTTGTTCCTTCACAAACCCACAGTTTTTTTTAATGTTTTTTTCAGAAGCAATGGTGACGACATCAACCAGAAAATAGCGGAAGCGCGACTGGACCAGTGATGGCTCAGTGTCATTTGCCACGACCTTGCCCTAGCGACCCAAGGGTCTGAAATTCTGATCAAAAGGTTGTTTAGGAGGTTTCGCCTACAGGGCTGAGACTCATAGTCTTTCCAGCTCATTTGCTTCATGCATTTCCTCAACCACGTTCAGATCCGACGATAAAACTGCTGATGGACAAAGAATAGTTCGGCACGGACCGCTAGCACTGTCACCCAGTCTTGAAAAAATATAGTGGGCATCCTTCCAAGCTGGTTGCTATGTCATTAAATGATGACGTATATTGATGTGCGGGGCCGATCAGCCTCGATGCGGGCCGATGAAGCTCATCAAGAAGGTCTAGGTCTAGGCGCATGCCTTGATGTGGCCCTCACCCATTTCCAAGGAACGGAAATTGGAAGAGTTGGACGCTACTAGGGTTACTAGGGGCAAAGGGCATTGCTACTAGGAGCAAAGGATGCTACTAGGGGCTCAATTTCCCTTTTGCAAGAGTTGGCGAGTTTAGGTGGTGCAATCCCATGCAGCAAGCCAATGGTCTTTAGTATTCTTCAGTCATGTTGTTGTGTTTGGGGCCCGGTCACACTGGTCCGGTGGGGTGAGAGTTTTGGGACTTGATTTGAGCTTTCTTCCTTTTCCCCGTTCTTTTCTTCTATATAAATAATGGCAATGGCTTCCAACATACTAGCGATGGCCTCCAACCTAATAGCGTTGGCCTGCACCGCCTAGGAGCTCTTCCATTTGGTTGACTATGATGGGGATGGTCATTTGTCTGCCGAAGAGTTCGTCCAAGCCATGGAGCTCCCATCCGTGCAACAGTACTTGAAGTTCCTGGAGGCCACGTATTTTGGGAACATGGGGATGTGCCTGGAATTCCTGGAAGCCATGCCCAAAGGTTTTGTATGGTTTTGTCATGCAGGTGCATGAGATTATTGACTCGTAGTTTTAAGAGGTTGTATTTTTGTGTCGAACTCGATGAGGGAATTACATGATGTCTCAACATGGTTGAACACGTCCGAACATCAAAACAGCGCGACTCAAAAAGTTAAAAGCATTTGCAGCAGAACCTGAGCCAAGCGCCTGTGTTGAGCAGGTCACTGTCCGGGATTGCAGACCTTTGTTCGAGATCCTTGCTGAGGGCGATGGACGGATCACTATTGCAGAGTTTTGCAAGGGGTTGATGCAGATCAAAGGCCAAGCCCGTGCGCTAGACATTGTGGTTTTGCAGCACGAAAATTCCAAGATGATGGAGCAAAATCACGAGATTCTCACCATTTTGCGAGCATTCAGCCGGAAGTCCCGCACGGCTCGTGGATCTTCAGCAGAGTGCTCACAGCGGCTGCATGGTTCGGAATCATCGTCGCGACTGAGCCTGCCTACATCGGAAAACGCAGTTTCACCAATTTCATAGGAGTCTTTTTTCTGCCTCCAAATGGACAGCAGAGAATGACGGAGAACATTTGGATGGACCAATTTCGCAAAAGCCAGTGAACAAAATGCTCCGAGGTGAGGCGGAAAGTATAATGTGAGCATCATGTCATCAACAAAATTTTAGGGGACCAATTAAACATTACTTTTTTTGGGAGGCGTGTAGGCCGGTAAGACGAGACCCAACAAGTAATAAGGAGCTAGCTAGTGTTAGCTGTAGGTTAAATGGCCAGTAGGAACCCCTCGCATGATTGATATGGTTCTTAGATTTTGGGGAAATTGAATCGCACAAGTTAGAGAGCAGAAGACAAAAGAGACTGTCACCCTGTGCCATGTCACTAAGTGACTTAAGTGCAAGCGACTAAAGCTTGCTGCAGTTAGCGCTGGTTTGTGTGGGAATGTGAATTCCATGACAGCCGTATGCTACTGCAGAAGAGTTTCTTGCACCACAGCACTTGTAATTTTCATGACGGAGGCCTTGAGCCATCATCTGAGAGCTTCCAGTCGTCAAGTAGCGGAAAAGTGACGCCATTTGTGAGTGCTGTACGTTAAGAGCCTTGACCTTGCGTCGTTGATGCATTGAGCACTCTACAGGTGAATGCAATTGAAGGATCTTGAAAGTCACGGGTGCGGTGTACTGTTTTTTGAAGGCGGCTGCAACTTTTGCACCCAGATAGGCATTGGCCCGAGCTCTAAAGTCATTTGAAAGAGCCATGCCAGTCCCAAGTGGGGAGAAGGTCACTACAAGCTTAGAAGAGAGCTTGCTGCAGGCACGGCAGTGAAAAGGAATCGCTGCAAGTGGAACTGATCAGTTGCCATAATTAGTGCCAGTGTTGTGGGTTTATGTATGTTTGGCCCTGAATGCTGGCTGTGACAGTGGAGCACAAATGTGTTCCCGTCCCAGCCCATCTCGTGCTGCACAGGCCCTCGATGCCAAATTTGCTGAGCAAGAGAAAGTGATTCGGGAGCTGCTCAGTGGCAATGGTGTGCGGCGGCCACCCCCTATGGAACCATGGTCATTTGTCTCAGAGCCGCCATCTATGCCAGTTTTCCACCATGCCTCGGAGCAATCCGAAGCACCAAAGAACAAAGTGCCATCAGGCCGGACAGTGAAAGCTTTGGGGGCCAAGGTCATGAGCGAAAAATGGAAACCCGATCCCCCACTGAAAGCTTGTGTGAAAGGGAACCTGGACATGCTGATTGCTGGAGTGGTTGTGATCAATGTGATCATGATGATCATTCATTCTCAATGGGTCGCTTGGAAGTCTGAAGTGGAGCTGAACTTGATCGAGCCTTCAGATTCCATGTTCTCCACGCAGGCCTTTGATGTGATTGAGTATATCTTCTTCAGCATCTACTGTTCGGATATGCTCGTGCGAATGATTGTGCTTCGAAAGGAGTGGTATTTCGACCCCAAGGTAGGTGTGATGTACATGAATATATTTGACGCTTTTCTGGTCTTGTTGAACTTCACCGAGCTCTTTATGATTCCTTTGATCGATCCTGAGGGTACCGACCTGAATACCAATCACATCCGCTTGATCAAGTTCACACGAGTGGCGCGTACTTTGCGGATTGTCAGGGGCCTTTCAATTCTTCGACAGTTGAGGGCACTAATTGCCACCTGCATTGCCAGCCTTGGAGCTCTTTTCTGGTCCTTGATACTACTATTGCTCATGAAGGTGATGTTTGCACTGGTGATAAGCCAGGCCATTCAGCTCTATGTGATGAGCGACGCGGACTATGACGTCCGGATTTTGATGAATAGTTGGTATGGAAGCTTCCTCAGAGCAATGTATACCATGTTTGAAATCACCTACTCAGGACAGGGTTCCCCCCGAACCGATCACATCAACTTGACCGACTTGACTTAGCCACAGAGACCCTTGTTGCAGTGAGAGTTCTTCAAGGAAGCTTGGCTTCACCTGCCGGAGTTTCCCTAAATATCCCTGAAGCAGCCCAGAATCCCACCTCTAAATCCAAGAGTCTAAACTTGCGCTTGCTCCTTCCCTCACTCGGTCCCCGCCCCTGTCCTGTTTGCTTCTTCAATCCCTACTTGTTTCATGGCCTGTGCACTAATATAGTTAATATTAACCAACTATTCGACCGGTCCTCATGGGTTCCTGGAATATTGTTTTGCAGATATGCTGGGACTATAATCACGAAAGCTAGCTGTAGCTAGCTGGAGTCTGTCTTGCTTTAGCAAGGAGGGTGGGAGCCCAGGACTTGAGTGCTGTTACCTGATCTATACCCCCCCCCCCTCGCGGGGTTCAACTCCGCCCTTCTCCTCCTCGGTACCTGCTGCTGCTGCTTGGTCGCTGCTGCTGCTGCTGCTGCTGGCATCTCATCTGCGCCTGGCTCTTGGCTGCTTGCTGGTTGCTGCTGCTTGCTGCTTGCATGCTTGGTGCTGCTGGATGCTCTTGGCTGCTTGCTGGTTGCTGCTGCTTGCTGCTTGCATGGCTGCCTGCTGCTTGTTGTTTGCTCCGTTTTGCTGCTGTTGCTGTTTGGGGTTGTTGGCTGCTGTTGGTGCTGAAGAAAGCCTATTCGTTAGAATCGAGAGTAGTTGCATTCCCTCTGAGTCGTGAAACGATGCTAATTTCATTATATCCTTGAGAAGCTTGTACAGGCATGTACCCACCCCACTACCAAGAGTACAAATCAGTATGCACTATCCGCTATCCATGCAGATCAAAAGATGATACTTACTTCACACATGAATGACAGAACCCAGTAAGATGTTTGAACGGGCTGTTTGCTTCATTCATGGTAGTCCGCGTTCCATGTTCGAGCGACAGGGAGCATGCACAAGCGTTGCGACGGAGTCTTCGGTCGCTGACACATGTTCGCATACAACCCCTAGATGTCAATCATGCACACCGCTGCTGGCTGCATCGTCAGCATTTATTCGTGAAAGAAACAGATATATCAGATATATCAGGTATATCTGTCTTTCCACGTCGCCCTTCTACAAACACTCAGGCAGCACCTATATGTGCTATTGTTTGAGACCAAATGTTGGGGCACGAAAGACTCTAAGGAAAGCTCACTCTTCCCCTGCTGCTGCTGCTGCTGCTTGGTAGCTGGTGGTGCTGCTTGGTAGCTGCTGCTTGGTAGCTTCTGCTGCTGCTGCTGCTGCTGCTGGGTAGCTGGTGGTGCTTGGTAGCTGCCGCTTGGTTGCTGCTGCTGCTGCTGCTGCTTAGTAGCTGCTGCTGCTGCTGCTTGGTAGCTGCTGCTGGTGCTGCTTGGTAGCTGCTGCTGCTGCTTGGTAGCTGCTGCTGCTTGGTAGCTGCTGCTGCTGCTGCTGCTTGGTAGCTGCTGCTGCTGCTGCTTGGTAGCTGCTGCTGCTGCTGCTGCTGCTGCTTGGTACCAGCTTGGTAGCTGCTGTTGATGCTGCTGCTGGTTGGTAGCTGCTGTTGATGCTGCTGCTGCTGCTGCTTGGTAGCTGCTGTTGATGCTGCTGCTGCTTGGTAGCTGCTGTTGCTGGGGCTGCTTGGTAGCTGCTGCTGCTGCTGCTGCCTTGCTGCTGCTGCTGCTGCTGCTTTGCTGCTGCTGCTGCTTGGCTGCTGCTGCTTGGCTGCTACTGCTTGGCTGGTGCTGCTGCGGCTGCTGCTGCTGCTGCTTGGCTGCTGCTTGGCTGCTGCTGCTGCTGCTGCTGCTGCTTGGTAGCTGCTCCTGCTGCTGCTGCTGCTGCTGCTGCTTGGTAGCTGGTGCTGCTGCTTGCTAGCTACTCCTGCTGCTGCTTGTGCTGCCGCTTGGTAGCTTCTGCTTGCTGCCGCTGCCGCTGCTGGTTACAGTTATTGTTGTTGTGGCTGTTGCTGCTGCTGCTGCGGCGGTTGCTGGGGTGGTTGTGTGTTGCCATGTGTTGGCTGTGTTGGGGTCGTATTGGGGGGGCGCTGTTGGCACTCTCCTTTTCCCTTGGCCATGGCATGTTGCGATTCCCGGCCAGGCTTTTGCTGCCTAAAGAGCCCCAGCGTTGTTTATTTTGCCTAGCTTTCGCCACCCCCCTCTGGGCCACAAATTTAAAGGGGGCGAGGGGGGTAGACGGTCCCTTGACGTTTTCGTAAAATATGTTTCATAACAGATAATGTTGCTTGTTCATTTTTTGAACTGAGAAAATCAACCTGCGATACAATTCGACGCAAAAGACAAATTCAAGAACAGTCCCATCTCCAAAGAAGGATCAACGGGAGGATGTACTGTATTTTATTGTTTTTGCCTGATGCTGGAGGTTGCTTGTTCAATTTCCGTTAGGTTTCTAAACAGAGAAAATCAACCTTGGATAGAATTCAACAAGAGAAGAATTGGAGAACTGTCCAGGGTCCAAGGAAGGATCAATGGGAAACTATTTTTGCACGATTCATGTAACTGGAATAAGATAAATCCGCCCACCCCAAACACATGCGGCTTTTGGCAACACTGGCGTCTGGCGGTCAGGGGGCCTCCCTGAGTGGGAGCCGTCCAAACATTTCTCTATAAAATCAAAGCCAATCTCTTGGAACACTTTGGTCCAGTGTTTCTCTAAAATCCATTTCATATTTCCCCACACTATTCTATAGAATCCATACCAACCTTGGCTATGCTATGCATCATTGATTGTCCCATTTTTTACATAAATCTTCATGATGATGAACACCCATACCCTGAGGCACCTCATTCTATACAGAACATCTTGCAAGAGGTTGATATGTGAGTCTAGTTGTGAGTATATAGCAGGGCAAACTGCCCACGGAGCCTGGTTTTTCGCTCTATCATTACAAAATCACGTCCCAAGGTACACCGGTAATTCCGCAAGGGATCCTTTAAAGTACTCCAAGGTATAGTCACGTGGTCCCCTAGCTGCGCCCTAGCTAAGGCATAGGCCATCCTGTTTCGATTTTTTGAACAAACAATGCCTGGAAAGCATGTCGGCTGTGGAACCTGTAGTTTTTCGAACTCTGCTTGCAGGAGGCTGGCCTTTGTTGGTCCGACCCGTAATTGAGATGGTAAGCCCTTGGTACTCCATTCCGTTCTTGCTGTACGTGGTATTTGCCGCTGGCCACAGCAAGAACAGTAAACTCTCTTGATGTACGCTTTCGATTTAACACAATTATTTACAATATACATTAAGTGTAACAAGAAGCAAGTAGAAACAAGTGCCACGCTAGTAGTAACAGGTGCCTTACTAGTAGTTACTAGTAGTAACACGAAGCTATTAATTTTAACTTATACAATGTACATTCAATCCGTCCTTTTGCGACCCTTTTCGCGCGACATCGCAATCAAGCTGCCATGCAAGGTTGTATTTGCAGCCATCCGAATTGTCACAGCACTTTTTCTCAAGGAGACTTTGTCAACTGCAGCCAATGACGCTGAATTGGTCATTGAAGACTCCAGACGAACAGCCGTACAGTATCAGAAGAAATTGGAAGAGCTCTTCCGTCTTGTGGACGACGATGGGGCCACTGTTTTGAGACAAGTATGACTTTTATTCCCCAAACAGTTTACTGTTGGGGCCCTAAGAGAGAGGATAAAAGGCACTGGCCACAGTCTTTGGCCGCGCCCCCTGAGCCCTGTGTCCAGTTGTTGTCCCCTTCGTGTCCTTCAGTTGTCCTTCTTTTGTTGTCGTGGTGTCCTCCTGCTGTTCCTTCAAGCCGCGCTCGCGAACCCTTTGTCCTTCTCTTGTCATCCTGGTGTGTTCCTGGTGTCCACCTACCCTTTGGATCCGTTTGGCCTCCATTTGCCCTCCTGGTGTCCTCCGCCGGTGGTGATGCTGTAGCCGTCCTTGGTCAGTCTGTTTGTCCGAGCCTCGTCTCGCTTTCCCTTTCGCCACCGCCTTGTTCGGGTATGTTTTCGTGTGGCTATGAATGCAACAGTGATATATTTCGATTTTACCGCCAACATTGGAATTCAAGGAGTTGACGCAACAAAACTGAAACTGTTTGGGGTTTATGCTGGTATAATATAGGTTTGCTTTGTGGTCGTCCCCTCAATGATTGTGTTGAAGCTGACCTCCACAACGGCAAGTTATCAAGAATATGATTCTGGCGAACGACCTGCCAAACCCAGGACGGAAATCTTACACCTGAAGAATTCGTGGAGGCTATGTCTTTGCCAAGTGTGGACTTATACTTGAGGTATCTAGAGATCCTGGGCTAAATTAACTTTAAACTAGGTCCTAGGCCGCTTTGACTACAGGTCCAAGAATTCCTATGAATTCCCCATGGAAGCTGCCCACCAGTAGGTAGCAGGGCTGTGCAGTACATTTCACCATTGCAAAATTGCAGAGTGGAATTTGTGCGGTGCTATCCTTTTGGTAGTGGATTGTAAAAGTTGCATGCCATGTTTCAAGCGACTGAGGATCACCATCCGTGATTGCGGTCCACTGTTTGACATTTTGTCCGGCGAAGATGGTCTCATTACTATCTCAGAGTTCTGCCAGGGCATCATGCAACTGAAAGGGAATGCAAGGGCCTTGGATATGGTAGTGCTTCAGCACGAGAATGCCAAATTGATGAAGGCGTGGAAAGAGAGGTGACGGTGGTATGATTGCATTTGTGGTTAAGTTATATTGCTGCTATGATTGCCTATTGATTGCAACATGTTTAGTGTTTGGTCCAATCGTCCTGCATGAGCTTGGAGGAGTGCATGCGGATCAGAAAGTATCTTGAGAAAGGTTGGAATCGCACATACTCGCAGTGAATGAGCAGCATTCACCCATGTGGTGCTAGCCAAATGACTTGGTTCAGATTGCAATGATTGCAACCATGGCAAAGCCATATTGCCTATATATGCACAATGGACGTGGCCAAGCCAGTTGTTCTCCAAATGTGCAATGTGCTTATGCGAAAAATACATATTGACAGGTGGCCCATCAATTGACTGGCATGCTTGCATGCTGCAGGTTGCTCCCCCATACAGTGGAGAGATGTGAGTTTAGAGCGGTTATGTAATGTTTTATGTACTCCATGTTTGTCGGGCCATCCGGGTGTCTTGCGACGGCCTCACGGCTTGAAAGACCGGAAGAAGATTCAGGTGGTTTTTGGGCTGCTCCATCTCGCACTTCTTGCTTGTTTTGCTTCAAGGCCAAGTAAGAAAGTCTAAAACCCCCCATGTAAGTAATTAGTTTTCGCATGTCCGCTTTTCTGGAAGCATGCTCAATCCCATGTAAAACGATAAGGAATAAAAATAACGGTAACCCGCGATGACTCTTGTGGAAAACCCTTGACATGCGAGAAATGGTGTGAAGATGTGTGAAGAAAAAACTTGAAGATTCGTGCGCACACACAAACAGAAAACCTACTACTGTTCCAAATTGCCAGGGTCAATGCGTAACTGCTCTTGGTGGGCATGTGCTTGGACAGAGCCTTGTGCTACAGTGCTACAGCATTGTTGTGCCACAACTTGCACTAGTAATGAAACGATAGCAAAAACGATAACACAGTGAACCTAAAACACCTTTCCGTAGGCAGGCCACCACATGGGCGTAGTTGGAACGAAGTGTGCCTAATGTATTCATGCCCGCAAGAACCCACACACCACATTTGCTGCAGTTAGTCAAAGTGCTGTAAAACGATAAGGAATAATAAAAAAGCGATAATGCCAAAAGTTGTATATAGGGAAAGATAGAGGTGTTTTCACACCACCTCAAGTGGTCGCATCGAGGGGGTGGGGGTTATCCCTTGCATCGAGATAAGATAACTCGGCAAGAAAGAAACTGCAAGCTGACCTACCACAAGAACTGTCCAGAGTCCAAACCCTACATGCCTCACTCTAGCTTAAGGAGACCGTTGCCTTCAACCCGGAGAGGTGCTAATGACGCTGCTTTAGCCCTTTTGCACTGTTAGCAAAACTAAAGATTGCGCAATGCGTGTCCTGTTTCGTCTTTTGATCTCGTCTTTGGATTTTCTTTGAAATGCCCTCCGCCACGGAGACTAACAAACCACAACGTGCAGGCAGAGGAGATGGAACAATCTGTGTTTATGTCACTTCGATGTGGGGAGATGTTTAAGTTTTATGTCCTTTCTCGTTCCCTTTCGCTTTTTGCCCGGAGTGCCGAATTCAATAGCGAGGAAAAAGTAAAGATGACGTATATAGCCGATCTCCCTACTGTATTTTGTTGGTCGAGTTGCAACAACAATTTTCCACACGGTGCAGACAGTTACCGTACATAGACTCTTTTGGATTCTTTTGGTGCCGGTTTCCACGTCAACCGCCCAGCATTCTACCATTGGCAATCTTGGACACAAAGCCCACATACGGAGCACATGTCTAAGTGTTTAACCAAATGCAACTTGTGCTGCTGAGATTCCATTGGGGTGGTTCTTGCATGAACCTGCTGCTTTCTGAAAGTAGGCCTAGGTGCAGATGGCGCATATTGCCAGCAAGCTTCCGCGGTCGGCAGGCGCAATTCCATCCCATCATATGCCCACTGCCGACATTCCGTTGTCACTTGCTGACTTGCTTTATTCATTCATCTCACCCTCCTTGTCACGACGGCTCATCCAGCTTACTGCCGGTGTCTCGATTCCAACGGGAAACATCCCGAAGCCGAAAAGAATGCGGATCGACAAGACATAAAAAAGCCACACAGCTATCAGCGAATCGGCGTCCCCAAGACCGTCCTGCGATCCTGATAGGATGCGGTGACCTCCTTCATAGTCCTCAGAATCGTACTCAGTCACTCATGTCAGAATCGGACATTTATGCATTCTCTAAACAAGGAGTGCCAGGTACTAGAGGACATTTTACGATCGCAAGATCTCGCACGGCCTCACGTGGACTTTACCAGGGTGAAGGTAGAATTTAGAACAGACCTGGCAAGTCCTGCCCCACCCCAGGGCAAATTTTAAACAGACCCTACACATCCGTAGTGAGCCAACCAAGGATAAATGCTAGAGCAGGAGCAAACCATTCCAACCACCATGCACGCCCTCTTGTGAACCACCTGGCCATACGAGCCTTTCAGTTCTGATTTTGCACAACTTCATTTCTGGCCCACCCAGAAGAGATCAGAAGAGTTTATTTAAACACGTCTATACCAAACCTTACAGACCCTGCTTTGGGCTGTTCCAGTGCAAAATTGAAAGCAGTAATAGAGTTACTGTAGTCCGATCTCAAGTGCCCATTTGTGGGCCAAGTGCAGGTTTAATTTCGAGCAGTGAGCAGGATGGATGCCTTGCGCACCTTTATGTGCATCAAGCGAGAGTCTTTCAGACTTTACCCTTTTGGTGAGCCCACTATACAATGCCTTTTGAAACTTTTGGACCCTCATTTATGGAGAGTGATTTGTTCAGCAGATTTTCCTGAACCTTTGACAGCATTTTCTAGAGTCTATAGAGACGATGTTTTTTATTTGTTTTGGTAGCATTTCTTAGCATGTCTTGTGAACCCTGCTGCCAAGACCTTTAAAGAGGAGCGGGTGTTCTGAGAGCGTTTTTATTTGGCAAAGCATTTGATAGAGAATTTACGGATGGACGGTGGACATGTGTGACAGCATTCGGTTACCACAGAGGGGTCGTCCGACCCACTCTCTAATGAAACCACTAGAAAAGGGGAGCTTGGTTTTCCACAGGCTCCTTGAAGCCATTTGGTTTTTCAACCCTTTTGTTGTTTGACAAAATTCAACAAGAGAAAGGACCGTGCAAGGAAGCAACCAGTGTGAAGCAATATGGGGCGGCTTTCCCACCGAGCCACCGCTCGCTTCAATGATCCAAGGAACTCCGTTTAATAGGAAAAAAACGTCGGTGTAAGTATGGTAGATAAGGAATAGATGAACTCCATAGAAAAAAGTAGATAAGGTATGGTAGGTTGTTTTTAAAAAGATGTGTTTTGCGTTGTGTGTTTGCGTTTGTTCCCACAACGGGTGTCGTTTAAGGAATCGTGCAAAGGTATTGCCTTGGCTCGGGTTCTGGGTCAGTTCTTGCAGGTGACTTTAGTTTCCCCCAGTTGTAGCAATAGAGACAGAGACACAGGGCAATCCCCAAGGGGACGAGGGACAACTTCAGAAAAAAATACATTACTTCGAGTGACCCCACCATGACATTTCAATCTTACAAATTTCCTGGCATGTATTAACACATGATTTGGCATTCTTTCTGGAAGGTTTTCTGACATGTTTTCTGACATTTTTTCTGGCATATCTTCTGACATTCTTTCTGGTATATATCTTTTGACATTCTTTCTGGCGTATCTTCTGACATGATTCTCTCTGGCATATATATCTTCTTACATTCATTCTGACATTCTTTCCGGCATTCTTTCTGGCGTTCTATCTGGCATATCTTCTGACTCGCGGTTGAGGTCCAGCGGGAAACACTGCTAGCCGAAGCTCGCAGTTGAGTTCCTGCGGGGAACACTGCCGCACGACCCTCGCAGTTGAGGTCCGGCAGGGAACACTGCCAGCCGAAGCTCGAGGTTGAGGTCCGGCAGGGAACACTGCCAGCCGAAACTCGCGGGCTGGCTGAGGCCCGGCGGGGAACATTACCAGCCAAGGATCGCGGTTGAGGACGGCACGGAGGACGAGGAGGAGGACGAGGCGGAGGAGGAGGACGACGACGGCAGCTGACAGCGGACAAATTCTATACAACAACCTACACCTGAAAGGTGGAGAATAACAAACTATGTCTATATGGCTATATGGCACTTCGCTCTCGTCATAGCGATGCTTTTTTGGTATATTGATGTATTTGACGTGTCTCTTCCATATCTGATCCAACTTCAATTTGGTGAAGATATGCTTTCCATTTCATTTATGTTGCTTCATTCATACGGTTGTGCTTATTTTGCTTCATTCATACGGCTGTGCTTTTTATGGACATAGACGGTTTCTTTTTAAAAGTCCGGTTATATCAACTTATAGATCTTATAGAAGCTTCACATGTTCATCCCTCAAGTGATCTCTTACTACTGCTGGATCTGACTTGGCGCTTTATAAATCATTTTGGCCACTAATTGTTACAGATTTGCTATCTCTTGCAACCCACTCTATAGACACAATTTCTTTATAGTATGGCCGGTAAATGATCCCAGCGGTAAAGCATGGATGATCTCACACCCCTTGGTAGGGTGCCCCAAGGAAAGATACCACCAGTTCAGGATTTTCTAAAGGATCGATCACCTGACACAGTGTTTGGGTCTTGTATGTATACCTGTGTATACATATAATATATTATCTCATATTTGTATGTTAGTTTATTTTGATCCCTCACCTTTGCCTCTGACACCCTTGTGTTGGATGCCGCATGGAAAGCAGAGAGGGTGTTGATTTTTTTCATCCAACATTCATCAAAAGGAATTGTGTTGCAAATGTCAAGGTGCTTGTTCATTAAGGGTCGAACGAACAAAACACGGTAGTCGAGTAGTCGAGCAGCGTTTCAACCTGTTTTATTCCAATATGTTTCAACATGTTTCAACTCTCAATGTACGTGTGGCATTGTCCATTCCGTGGCCTTCCATTTTTCTGGCTGAGTCTCATGAAACCCCGAAGATTGCGGTGGCACCGAATTCCCGTGTGGGTGGGCCAGCGCAGGAGTCACACTTGGTTCAGAATGTTCACATGATTCTTTGTTGTTTGTTGCCGCACATCGTTGCATTTTGGTACATTCGTCGCTTCAAAGTATTGTGTCCAGTTTTGAAGCCAATATATAACCCTCAATTGTGTAATGTGACTTGTTGTCCCCGCTGCCATGGGGGATCAAGAAAGCAAGAAGCTATTGAAGACTCGAGTTGGTCAAAGAGAGTCTCTCTGGCACTGTGCTGGGAGCTCCATTCAACCACAACATGCACAAGAAGAAACAATTTGGGGGTGAGCTTCTGAATTTCTCGCTCCAAGGATCATATCGGTGAGACTTGTAGATACTGTATACGTATATAGATAGATATACACAGAAAATGTGCATGATCGAATTGTCAGAGCACCCAGGTCTTTCCAAGAGGTGCAGTCTGTTTGATAGCCATGTCGCATCTGCCTGAGACATATGGGTATCCTGTGGTGTCAGTGTCTTGTCACGGCTTAGTGTGGTAGACACTGAATCCTGGTCCAGCTTTGATGTAGACAAAGATGGAGTTACTTTTGTTCTAAGATTGTCATTGATCAAGAGGATCGATTCAATTTGTGTCCTCAGCCCACTTGAATCTTCTGCCCAAGGTTTGCCCAGATGATCCACCTTGGACCGCAGCGCCTCCTGATTGGCTCGAACAGCAGGCCTGGTTCTTGGCGGCCCTGGACAAGAAGTTCGCAGAACAGGAGAGGTGTGAGGAAAGACCACCAGTTCATTGGAAACATGCATAGCCGCATACAGTAGGGTCTGTCCTATTACCTGCAACAGTCAGCAAACAATTATATTTTTTTGACCAAGGCCTTTACTAACCATCATCCACTGTTATAGGTAATAGGATAGACTGATAGACCCAACGCATACAGATAGACACAGAAGTAGACACGTACATAGTGTTTCGAGATACAATTGCATATATGGGAGTTGATCTAAAGGGGGTTTTGCGCAACACGACCATGTGGGTGCTGTCCAAACCATCCGCGAACGATTTGCAGTGAGGTTTGCAAAAGTCATTTTTCAATTTTGTCTCCCGTTGTAGAATTACAAGAAATTCATCGGGCAAAACCGATGGGTGGTGGATGTGCTGCAGTGACAGTGTGTGAAGGATTCTCTGATTCCTTTCCCCACTCACTGACCAACAAAATGAGGACTCAATCACGAAAGCCAGCCGGTAGGCAAGGCTTGAGTTCTTAGGGTGAACGAAGTGAACATTGGGGGTGTGGGGGGGGGGGTGTCGCTTGGAGGTCGAACCCTGCTGGTGGAGGAGAGCGAAAAAAAGTGTGGTCAGGAAAGCATCAAAAAAGCGGTTTGGTGATGCAAGTGATGTAAATGACGCCGAGTAGTGCATCATTAGCATCACGAAGGGGTCTGGAGATCATATTTCTTTGCTTTCTGGAGCGTCATTAGCAGAAAGGTCGGGTGGAACGTCAGAAGGTTTGCCAGACACAATGTCAGAAGCTTTGCCAGATAAAATGTCAGAAGATAGTCCTGGTGGGGATCATTCGAATTGGGGATCACTCGAAGTGTCAGAAGCTACTCATGATGGGGATCACTCGAAGTAAGTCCGTGATTTTTTTTGTAGAGCTTTCTTCTTGTACTTTGATCTTTGAGAACAAAAAAGTCGAAAGGGTTGGACACCACGGAGGGAGCCCACGCACGACTAACCACCTCCAGAAGAGAATGTCAGAGGATTAGGCAGATAAACTGTCAGAAGATAGTCATGGTGGGGACCACAGGAAATGTTAGAAGATAGTCATGGTGGGGATCACTCGAAATAACTAAGTGGTTCTCTTCTGTGGCCATGTGTGGAAGACTTCAACACGATGCCCGAAATATCGCCGACCACCGCGAAAAACACATACTTTGGGCATCGCTGTTTTTGTCGTGTTGGCTCACGTATTGTTACTTCTCAGTTCCTTGCACCTTCACCCGGACAATTGGTGGGGATCATTGGAAATGTCAGCAGATAGTCATGGTGGGGATCACTCGAAATAGCTACAGTAAGTGATCTTTTTCTGTGGCCATGGTGAAGATAGTCATGGCTTTCGTCCTCTCCTTTCTCAGGTTATTCCTTGCACGGCTCTGACGCCTGCAACCTTGACAGATGTTTTTAAAGGGTCATTGTGGGGCAAATCAGTGAATTGTCGCGCAAGTTTCACAAATTTGCCATAAAGTTCCGGTCACCACTAGCTGTAGCAGCCTTCAAGATTGTGTGCCAATCATGTTGCAATATGATAGTCGCTAGGTGGTGTTATGTTTTTACATTTCGAAGACATGAGAAATTACACATTCATGTTCTTAGCGACGATTTTTTCGCGAAGAACTACCATTCCATCTTGAAAGAAGATTGGTCAAACACTATAAATGTATATAAATGTATGACTTGACATTATGATGCATATGCGCACATATGCATTTATATACATACTATGGACATGAAAATGCAGGAAGAGTCAGACAGTCAAGCCTGTTGCAAGACCACGTGGACCGCACAAAAGGGGATGGACATTCTTTGCACCGTTTAATTACTATTCTGTTTGGCCATTTGGCTGCTGATCGTTGAATGGACGGATCAACAGATGGTCGCAACGCATTTGTTAATATGGGCATGGCATGGTCAAGGCAAGAGAGGTTGGGAGCTTGTGCAAAGTATACTAGCTGGTTTGTACTGAAGCAGACTGAAGCATGAGCAGATGTCCTGATTGCACAGCCTGCAATGCAATTATACAGTACAGTAAATGAATACTGGGTTGACTAGACAGCAAGACAAAAACATCATTTATAGGTTCTTTGATGCCAGGCAGCTGAGCTGATGGAACAACACATATATTGTAATCATATTGCATGTGTATCGAGCTGGTTTTAATCAGTTAGCCAAAGGGGACAGGTTGGAAATTGGACCAGACAGATTCCTAGTAGTAGTCGCTGGAAATTGTAGTAGCATGCAATGTTTTTAAAACTTGTCACTACACGACAAAGATTACTATTACGACTGCTGCTACTTGTAGCCCTGGTAGCTGGAGTTGCTGTTCATAGGAACCTAAAACAGTTTAGAAGCTAAAACTGGACTGGAACTTTCTAAGGTTGGTTTTTGCTCCCCAGAACCGATAGAAACTATCGTTGTTTGACTCCTCCCCCGGAAAATGCTACTCGGGAAACCAACCACCTGTCCAACCTTCAACCATATCCTTGACCTTGCCCCCCAGGTCCATGCAACATGCGACAACTAGCTTGGGCGGCTGCTTTAGAACTTTTGTTTTTCTGCCATTCAACAGCAAGCAGTGACAACAAGAACACTACTTTTTGCACTGTTCCAAGCCCACCCCCAGCACCGATCGAATGCCTTCAGGCCCTCGATGTGGAGAAACTGATTCGGGAACTGCTCAGTGGCGTCGGTGGTCAACGGCGGCCACCCCCGATGGAACCGTTGTCCTTTGTCTCGGAGCCGCCATCTTGGACGATGTTCCAGGATACATCCGATACTTTGGCACAAGCTGACGCCGCAGAAGCGCCAAAGAAGAAGCCATCAGTCCAAGCATTGAAAGCCTTGGGGGCCAAGGTCATGAGCGAGAAATGGGAGCCCGATCCCCCACTGAAAGCTTTTGTGAAAGGGAACCTGGACATGTTGATTGGTGTAGTGGTTCTGATCAATGTGATCATGATGATCATTCATTCTCAATGGGTCGCTTGGAAGTCTGAAGTGGAGCTGAACTTGATCGAGCCTTCAGATTCCATGTTCTCCCCGCAGACCTTTGATGTGATTGAGTATATCTTCTTCAGCATCTACTGTTCGGATATGCTCGTGCGAATGATTGTGCTTCGAAAGGAGTGGTATTTCGACCCCCAAGTAGGTACTATGTACCTGAATATCTTTGATGCTTTTCTGGTCATTGTGAACTTCATCGAGCTCTTTGTGATTCCGTTGATGGATCCTGAGGGCACGGATGTGAATACCAATCACATCCGCCTGATCAAGTTCACACGAGTGGCGCGCACCTTGCGGATGGTCAGGAGCCTGTCAATTCTTCGGCAGTTGAGGGCACTAATGACGACAATCGTTGCCAGCCTTGGAGCTCTCTTTTGGTCCTTGGTATTTCTGTTGCTCATGAAGGTAATGTTTGCGCTGGTTATAAGCCAGGCCATGCAGGTCTATGTGATGAGCGATGCGGACTTTGACGTCCGGATATTGATGAATAGTCGGTATGGAAGCTTCCTCAGGGCAATGTATACCATGTTCGAGATCACCTACTCAGGACAGAACCGATCACTTCAATCAACTTGACTGACTTGACTTAGCGCCAGAGACCTTTGTTGCAGTGAGAGTTCTTCAAGGAAGCTTTGCCAACCCAAGTTCCCTAACTCACTCCCTGTCCTCCCTCCCTCCCTCCCTCCCTCCAGCCAGCCAGCCAGCCAGCCAGCCAGCCAGCCATCCATCCATCCATCCATCCATCCATCCATCCATCCATCCATCCA